TAGCTCACGGCCACTCAAGCCAGGACCTACGACGTCATGAAGGAGATTATTTTTTGCTTGTTTTTGTAATTCTAATTTGCCTATAACTTTTAAAATAAAGCGAATTTCGCGAAAAGAAAAGTTTCACTAAGTTACTACGTTTAGTGCGCTCAGGTTCGGTGCAAATTAAAAAACAGTAAAAAGTCCTTGCAGGGCCACTTTAAACATAACTTCTGTCTAGCCCTTTCAACATTAAGTCTATTCCTTTATAAGCCATTAGTGAAGCCTCAACTCGAGTATGCAACACCCATCTGAGATCGCCTACCAGATATCTCGCTCACTTGAGGTTGCCCCCAACAAATCTGCTTGTTTTCTACAAGCTAAATACAACGGCACCACAAGTCTAATGTGAACTGAAAACACTTTACTCCTTCCAAACCTCACACATTGTCCCAGAATCTCGTGTTTGTCTTTGTCGTCAAATCTACAACCACGTCCTTGGCTCAAGGCTCGGTTAATTCCACCGCTGTTTGATTTAGCACGACTTCATCATCTTCACAAAGTAACAAAGTAGTGTCCTGTTTTACCAGCCTAACTCATTTCGTGGAGCACTTATTCCCAGAACCCCAAGAGTCGCTGACATCAATACCTTTGCTAACTAGTAGTTCTCTGTTTAACTACCGCATACACTGTCCTCGTTGTTTTTTATTCCCCTCTCCCCCTTATAATGCCTATGCTTTGAGGGTAAAAAAAATAAATATATAGGCAATGGCCACTGTCAAAGGACCTATATTTGAAGAGATGCACAGTGTATTTGGTAATAAAGTGTTTAATTAGTTCATTGAACGATTAACTTTTTCACAAGAAAAAATAAAAAGGTACCATTTCAATTAAAAACTCTCGGAGCACTATCAAAAGCCAGTACCTAAATAAAGCACCTATAGAAGAAGGGTTTTGTATCGCCACAGCCCTATCTACCTTGGTTCTATGACTTAACAATGGTAAGCATCCTAACAAACACGTGTGGTACTATCGCCCGTTCATGGAGCAGACTCCACTTCCTTCCCAACTCTTCCGCTTCTTTTCTTTTCAGTCGCATACGTCTCCATGACGTTAAAAAAAAAATGTATTTACTTCATTGCTTTCAATCTCAAACGTGTCTTTTTAAATATGGCACTTGTTTGGGGTCTTTGGTCGAACATCAGGATATGCTGAAACATACGCCAGATGCCTCCTGGAAAGGGTGACATCCGTAGCGAAATGTAGCCTGCGTGTGTCCCAAAGCGCCAGGAGCAGTGCACAATAGAAACGGCTTGCTAAGCGCTCAAGTGGTTACTCATCTTTGCTGCACAGGATGAGTAGAGGTGTGGGATTTGTTTTTGGCACTTTACTTTTGACTGAATGGTACATATCTATGCATGTTACTGAGTTTACTGTTTTGTATTCCTGTACTTACATGTACTATTGTATTATTATCTCCGCGTTAATTGATTTCACATTGGGAAGCTCGTGTCAAAATAAATTGAATTGGTATATTAAAGACTGTCAACACTGTATTTTTCTTGTTACTAGTTCAATCCCACATAATTAACCCCCTCCCCCGGCATGGCCAGTTTTTTTTTTAAGAAAGGTGGTCACCCTAACTACAAATGTAATATAAGGGACTCGCACCACTTCAGTTTAGGAGCTCAGTGAAAAAGGCTTCACATCCACTGCAAGACACTAAACTTTTCTATTTTAAATATAACGATCTCACTAAGCGTTCAGGGCATGCGTGACGTCACCATAACTTTAGTTGACAAGAGGCAGATGGCCTTGCATGCAAAGGCTTGTGACGTCTTGTGCTCCACATGCATAGAGCTCCAGCAAGGTTGTTGCATGGGCAGAAAGACTAAACTACCCTCGATGCATTGCGGCAGCATAGTCAAACTGGTTGGCGAGATCGGTCTATTAACCGCTCAATACTTAAACAAATTAAATTTGCTTATAGGCACAATGTTAACAACGAGCAATCTGCATTGAAGTTTCAATGGCTCATTAAAGGGGCGATGCAACGATTTTTGTACTTTGCGCAAATACCGCTTAAACGGATCCCTGACGTTAATGACCTATGAAACACGCATTCGTTTTTCACTCCACGCAATAGAAGTTCCAGAAAAAATTAAAGAAAAACGAGCACCATTCACCCCCTCAACTCGCAGCCAGAACAAGCGGCCACGTGATCTGGAGCCGATTACATGCCGCCAGGGATGGGCAAAATACATGCAAATATGTATTGAAATACAAATACAAAATACTTCGTCAAAAATGTATTTAATTACAAATCTAATTAAATTTCCAAAAAAGCATTTAAGTACAAGATACAAATACAACCAAATGTATTTGGTCTCCTCCAAATACTTTCACAAATACATTCCTCAAAATTTGTGTCAGCGACTTCAGGGCACCTGCAACGGGTTTCTGGATATCTCATTTTAATTTTGCATCGCAAACTCGGGAGTTAGTGTGCAAGGCTCTAGTGACGTAATAGATATATAATCACAAAAAAATGTAATCAGCTTGGACGTAGTAGGTGAAAAAATTACAAAGCTTCAAGCAGCTTTTTTTGTCGATTACATTTTGGTATAGACCAACAAAGAACGACAAACAACCGAGACGACCAAGACGCGCAGCACTAGCTAGAGAACTTTGTATTGTTGCAACTCGCACCAGTCATGAAAATCTGGACGACCCGCGCCTTTAGAATGTTCCAGGCAAAAATATGGATGGAAATCAGGCTGGAAAGCATCACAAGTTATCCCAGGCACTTATTTAGCCAGTCTGCCTGTGAACGTCGATTTCGTCAGTATTCTTGCCCTGGACTAGCACCGTAACCATAAAGTCACTAAACGCTTGTGCTTGATTGAGAGACACTGAATTCGGTGCAGAACGTAGTTTTGTTCTGCTCTGGGCAGTGGCAATAAATTTGAGGGATGTATTTTCGCCCACAAAATTGTATTTAATTACAATAGACCCTTTCCGGAATTCAGTGCCATCTGGTGACTCAAATGGCAGTTTATCTTTTATTATACTAATGGCGGCAATGAACCTGTGGTCTGCAGTATTTAATGGGGCACCGTCACTTAAAGGTCAATGGTAAACGGGAATGTGGACTTCACTACAATTATTTTTCAGTCTCTTTTAGTGTCGATGGCGAAACAAATGCAGCCAGTCGGAACGAAGCGCCAACCCACATAGACGTCTTGATAGAGTTCTATACATCAATGGGCTTTGAAGCCGAGTCTGTGCTACTAACACATTGACTGGGACGGAGTTAGAAATGAACGCTTACGCAGCTCTTGCGTCCAATTCCTGCTTCACGCCGCGCTAACATCTAGAATGATACAGGCCTCGAATCATATGCTTAGGAGCATCTTCAACTTCTTCCTTCATCAGTAAACAGAAGGCCGCCATTAGTATAGCACATATGCCGTTTTTAGATGATGATGATAGTGATCAAAGTGGCCAGACTGAATTCCGGAAAGGGTCTATTGTATTTGAAAAACTCATGTTTTCGTATTTAAATACACATGTCAAATACATTACCCAATTTGTAATTAAATACAAATGCAAAAAATCACACAAAGTATTTGAAATACGTATTTCAAATACTTGTATTTGAAATACTGCCCATCCCTGTATGCCGCCAATGTTGATCATAGCCACGCGCTGGGGTTGGCAAAGCACAGGACATGCGCTGAGTTCCAGACATCGTTATGGCTCGGCTATTGTCGTTGCAGCAATTGGACAAAGGCCACTACCTGAAAGCATGTCGAGGCATTGATTGTCACGAGCCCAGATCGAATGCGTATGCACTCTTCATGTCCACTGTGTGAGCCAGACCCCAGGACCGGGCCCCCCTTCCGAAATCTTTGATTTTGCTGGGACCTCCTTTCCTTCCTCCCCCTCATACAGCATTTTGTCATGATTCCCCGCCCCCCCCCCCCCCCCCCTCCCCCCTGAAACAAAATCCTGGCTACGTGCCTGGTGTGAGCAGCATTTGAATATTGTCACCGCAAAGCCCGATGACGCATACCCAGGGATCGTTCTGTTGCCATTGTCCCCACAGCTCCGTCATCAAATTTCGCGAAGGAGCAAAAGGCGGTTTTGGAAGGAGAAAAAAGCTCCACTTTCATCCTTTGAATTCCGCTGCGACAAAGACACTTCTTGGTCAGTGGTGTTGCGTTTGAGTATTCTTGGGTCCCACTAGTGCCAGGAAGCTGGTGTAAAGTAAGAAATATTCCTACCCAATGTCGTTGCACAGCCCCTTTAACCAAACCGAACAAAACAACCGACCACCCAAATGCAAAACCAGAAAAAGATTTGATGTACAAGGAACTGCTAGCCAAAATAAATGCACATATCCTTGGTACCATCCTCTGCTCACTAGCTTTATGGAACTGATGGATGCCAAAACATATGCAACATGCAGATCTGCCCAGAACACTGTGAAACGAAGCTATCAACATCAGTTTCATTTCCATGGTGGCAAAAACTTTTGTGTACAGCAGAGGCAAGGATACAGGCGAACGCGTGTAACAGACTCGACTGCATGAGCGCTAACACATCAAAAGCACCACTCATTACATACAGTCGCACGGCATCCGAAAAGGAGCAAGGAGATTTGTCTTGGATGGAAACGGGCAATGCCAGTGACAGAAATGTGAAAGGAGGGCACGAGCATCCCGAGAATTCACACGACACCCTTAAATGCATGATGTTGGCATACAGAAGCTTACAAGGCTCGTCATGCTGACATCAAACAATATAATACAGCGGACAAACGTCTGGAATATTCAGGCCCTGCATTGGTGCCTGTCTTCAAATTCTTCCTTCATCAGCCATCAAAAGCTGCCATTAGCCTGTACAGATTATACGGATGTAGGTGATGATAGTTATCGAGGTGGCCAGACCGAATTTCGCAAAGGGTCTATCGCGACATATAAAATGAAATAAAACAAAGAAACAAAGTGAAACCTCACCCGGGTTAAAGAGCACGACGGCCCGGAGACAGCCCAGCTCCGTGCGGTCCATCTTCATCTCGCGCATCTTGGCCACAAGCTCGGTGAGCACCCTGTCAAAGATGGCGCCCACGCCTGCCCCGTGGGCACTGTGGCGCTGCACCACCAGGCCCGTGGCGAGCACAATGCCGTCCCGCACGCCAATGGAGCGGTGCGAGAAGGCCGCAATGAGCAGCTCGTTCCAGCCAGCCTTGAGAAGCACCATGCGGTCCTCCAGGGGCAGCTCCACAAAGTGAGGGATGTGCTTGGCCCACTCGACCAGCTGGTGCAGCTGGCGGTCGGCCGCCTGGCAGATGCTGCTCACAGGGTCCTGGGACTCTGGAGCAGAGCCCCCCTTGGGCTCCACCCGCAGCTCCGCCTCTAGGATGCGCTCCAGCGGCATCTCCGCCGGGGCGCCGCCACTCGTGCTCTCCACCTCGTTGTCGGCCCGGTCCTTGGTGCGCTGCCGCTCCTCCTGCACCGCCTCCCGCTTCATGCCGCACGACAGGCATTTCTGGTACCGACAGTACTGGCACCGGTTGCGCTGCCGCTTGTCTATGATGCAGTTGCGCTCCTCCCGGCACGCGTACGTCAGGTCCTTGCGCACCGTCCGCTTGAAGAAGCCCTTGCAGCCCTCGCAACTGCGGAGACGGCCGGTCAAAGGGAACGCTCACCACGGCCGTGCTGGGGGGTGCATAACAACCCTGCCAATTTAGGAGACTTGCCGAATGCGAGGTGAAGCACCGAGCTGACGCAGATGAGCAGAGCGCTGCCCCGCTGCACGGTTCGAAGCAAGAAAGCTCGCCTGGCAGGCGTGCAAACTCATAGCTTTGGCAGATGCTTGGACTTTAGCGGGACAGGAGTACGTCCGAAGCTAAGGGTACACGCTCTAAGACTTTCCTGATCTGTATAGGGTACAGGATGCAGATAATTTTCTACATCGAGTAACAACTGCAAAAACAATCCGCTCTACACACTTGCGACATTCCACAGGTCCCTCGGAGTGGCACTCTCTACCGTGTGGTGCAGAGAAAGTTAAAGCGTCCTTCACCGTAGCCGTGCCTATACCACGCAGCAGTGGCAGCATCTGTCGACGCCACAAGTTTGCACTTGCAGCATCCACTCCTTCAATTCTCGACACAAACTGTAGGAGGACACCGCACACCTGACATACTCAGGATAGTGGTCCCTCCTCAGCAGGGTGCTGCGCCACCTTCCCATTCGGCGAGTCTCCCATGAATCCTGGATAGGAAGGCTGTAGGCCTGTACTTTATGTCCCCTACTAAGGGTCAGCACCGGGCACGTGTTGGACACAAGTGCTGCACCAGCAGCTGAGACCGACTGGGTGACCAGAGTCCCAACCGAAGTGCAGGGCTCCAGTAGGCAGCGTGGAAAATCAAGTGGCCTCGTTATCTGTGCAGGGTGGTGCGCTCACCTGTACACGCCGTAGTGCTTCCCCGACGCCCTGTCGCCACAGATGGAGCAGAGGTGTTTGGACCCACTGAGGGGATGGTTGGGCGGGTAGCGCGAAGAGCCGCCCTGCGCGAATGCGGGCCCCGGGTCAACCAGGGCCCGCGGATCGCCGCGCTGGCTCACCGAGCTCGGGGCCCCGCCGCCACCGCCGCCGCCGTAGCCGCCCAGCAGGAAGGACGGCTGGGCGAGGCTGCTGCTCACGCCGTTGGACGAGGGACTGCCGTTGAGGCCCGCCGAGGGCGCTGCGTAAGCAACGAGGCCGGACCCCGGTCAGGATCCCGTGCCGCGACGCGGGGTGCCCCCTGCCCCCCCTCTTTACCGGCGGCGCCCGGCGGCGCGCCCCAGGGCGACGGCGACGGCGGTCCGACGCCCGACCCGTACAGCAGCGCGGTCACGGACAGCTTGGGTCGCTCCTTCTTGTACATGCCGCCGCGGCGCGAGTGGCAGGCAACAGGTGCGCAACAACCGGCTGCCGCTTCCACGGCGCCCGTACCGCTACCCCGTCGCCGCGTATAATTAGCGGTCGCCGCTGGAGGGGCGCCAGGGGGCGGCCTTGGGAGGGACACATTGCCGCGGGACCGAACCCCGGGTCCCGAGAGGCCCAGGGTTGAAGCCCGCCCCGAGAGGGGAGGTCCCGGCCCTCGCGACTGGGGCCCGGCTCACGCGGAGGAGCCAGGCGGTCTCCGGCCACGGGTTGTTCTTCCCGCCAGACCCCCATTTTCCGCGGCCCTGGCCTTGTCGCGCTCAAGGCCGTCGCGCGACGTCACCGTCCGAGCGCTCGGGAGCGCGGCATGTCAAGCAGCACGCATCACGGCCTGCCGCGACGGCAACCACCGCGGGTGCTCCCGAGAAGGGGGGGGGGGGGGGGGGGGGGGGGGGGCAACGCGGCCGCCGGCCGCAGAAGCGACGCCGCCCACACCTCGGTCCCCCATCGGGACCCCGTCCACACCCAATTCCGAAATGGGACATGTGGACCGACGCGCGAACCGCCCTACTGACTTCCTCCGCGATAACCTATCGGCGCGGCAAAACAGCTGGCACTGGCCGACCTTGGAACGGAGCTGAGCGAGAGCTCGCGCTAGCCCAGTGCCCTTCACGCATCCCGGGCGCAGAAACCATCCCAAAGGAATCCTTTCGCAACTGTGGGGTTCCTCATATTCCGCGCCCGGCGGGGCCCGGCGTTTCTACGAGGAGGGGGGTATCTGTTTCTTTTGATAATCGCCGCATTCGGTTATTCAACTCTTCCAACCCTCGAGGTCACTGTGATGCAACCACGGCGACTCCCAACAATGCTCATCCCACTACTGCGCAGACGTCACGAGACGACTTGTTTTTGTCTGGGGAGAGTCGCGACCCGCGGCTGCGCGGCTGCCAGGACCGAACGAGTGAACGCGCCGCTTCCCACGCGCGATCCGCGATGCTGCTAGCAAGCCGCCCGCTCGCCACCCGCTCGTCGCCCGCGAACCCCCTTCCCCCGTCAGTACCCCATCGTTCCATCGTCGGTTCCATCGCCGGCTGGCCTTGAAATCGGGTCCGCAACCGCTCCCCTGCTCCGCGTAGTACAGGTACTGCGGCCGGCTTGCTCCGTCGACGCACACTCGGCCTGCGACTTCGCACGGCCGCGGCGGAGGTTCGAAAAGCAAAAGAAAGCTCCGTGACGTCACGCGCAACATGCCGGAAACGTGCATACCCAGCAGCTGTGCCAGACCATTATCGCTTTTGCAAACTGATTGGACCTTTCTTTCGGCGTCAAGCAAAACTTGTGACGTCATTTCTAGCAGACTGCCGTCTCCTGCTCATAACAAACTTTCTTCCACGTGCCGCACGTGCCTTTTCGAGTTCGCCGAGATGCAGGCAGCACGTAGCGACGAAATCGACGAAATGGTCCGGTGTCGCCATCTCGGAGAAAGTAATGCAGGTGATTGCTTTTTTTCCCCTTCGACAAAACGGCAAGCAGCGACCGAATGAACCACAGACAGGCGAGCACGGATAAAATGATTCCGGGAGATCAGCTGATATGTCGGCTTTTAAGGCTTTCCGATATTCAGACTACCGCAAACGCCTCTCTGCGGCACTCCTGCCGCAGAGAGGCGTTCCATATTTTTTTTTTGTTTTTGTTTTTGCTTCATCAGTTTAAAACGCATACTCGAAAGAAAAACAACACGCGTTGCATTGGGCCCTGTCGAAACTCCGAGATGTGCAGTGTATCACGACGGCTAAACGTGTTGGAACGACCATTAAAATAGAGAAATAAAGCGCACAGAAGGGGCACGATCATCGGAAGCCACGAAATTCCCCACTAAGCCTAAGCCCGAGCAAGCGACCAGCGTCGAACAGACACCGACCGCGCGCTTTGGACGTGGATCCTATTTTCGAGCGACGTTTCGAACGCGATCGCGCACGTCGTTCGCAAAGCCCGGCAACGGTTCGCTTCGAGCAGGAGCGTCTAGTAGGTGTCGGCATATCGAGATCGAGAGCGATCGCAGCGGACTGACACTCCGTTGACAGAGCGTTTAGGAAGCTACCGCGCGGATGAAGACGAAATCGTCTTAAAACCGTGTTTGTTGCAACTCTCCGCCCCCAGCTGCTCGTTAAAGTACATCACGCGCGAGATTTTCTATTATTGTTTTGTTTTGTTCCGCGCTCCTTGGATGACTTCTGGAGCGGCAGCATACATGGTCGCCCTTGAAGGACGTCAGCCCGATACTGGGTCAGTGAACCTAATGGCAACAAGGAATCGGAACAAGTGGGCTTCCAGCCACCGCCTGCCGGCTGCAAGTGCGTTGCTCTTACCTCTTTCTTGGCTTGCCATGAGCCCCGTAGGGTTTTCAAGCAGCATACATTCTTATTATTACGGCACGGTGGAAGGATTTTTCGGTAGCAGCGACCGCGGCGACCAGAAGTCTAGCATAGGCGGAATTCTGGGTTTCCGTGGCGCCATCCAGGGACGTGTGTGAGAATCAGTTGCACGTAGTTGCCTTACTGACCGCGGTATGTCGCCACGGCTTGATTTGTGTTTCGGGCGTTTCGCACATGCTTGGCGAAGGTGGAGATCTGAATCGTCGGCAGCCAGGTATCGTGCATTCTGGTGACTTTGATGTGCTTCTTAACTGATTTGCGATGACGCCGAGGCGCCTGCCACGCCGGTTCATGGTTCCCGTGCGTTGGACTAGAGCAACGGTGCACGAACGATGACCATAGTAGCCGCCGCTGGCGAAGACGGCAACAAGTCCGGATGGACTCTGCTCGCCCCCCATTTTCCTGGTGACACCTCCGGCACGTCTTCCCGAGTAAAGTGCGAGGCAGCAATGTCTCCTCTGCTGCGATGTCGTCGCTCTTCTACGTCTTTCAAAGCCAAGGCCCTGCTGGCCTTTGCGCTGGTAATCTGGTTGCTGAACCACGCCGGGATCGTCGACTTCCTGCTGGAAACTCCTTACTCCAAGTTCACTTATCCGCTCGAAGTGGACACACGCGAGTTGATTAGAGTGCTCGACGAAGGCGGTCAGCCGCCCTACTCCGTGCTGAACCGGTATGAACGTTATCGCTTCAAGATCCGCAACGAGTACAAATGCCGAGAGAGCCGCGAGTCCAAGACACCCGCGCGGGTCAAGTTGCTGCTAGTCGTAAAATCGGCACTGTCTCACCGGGACCGGCGGGAAGCCATCCGCCACAGCTGGGGCTTCGAGAAGCGCTTCTCGGACGTGCCGATTCGATGCGTCTTCGTTCTCGGCGTGAACGCCGACGATCCTGCGACGCAGGACGCTGTGGACTCCGAGTACGCCCTCCACGGCGACTTGGTTCAGGCGGACTTCGTGGACTCGTACTACAACAATACCATCAAGATGATGCAGGGCTTCCGATGGGTCGTGGACTACTGTTCGAGTGCAGAGTTCGTGCTCTTCGTGGACGACGACTACTACGTGTCTGTTAAGAACCTGCTGAAGTTCGTCCGTAACCCTTGGGGCTTCTCGGCCGTGGCCCAGGAGGATGACGAAGCACCCCAGCGAGTGTCGGCGCCCGACGGCCGCCTCTGGGCGGGCTATGTCTTCGAGGGATCATGGCCTATGCGACACCGCTGGAGCAAGTGGTACCTGTCCTTGTCCGAGTATCCCTACTCGAGGTTCCCGCCCTACGTGACGGCAGGCGCTTTCGTGCTGTCGCAGCCGGCCCTGAAGGACCTGTACCGCGTCGCGCGGTACACGCGACAGTTCCGCTTCGATGACATCTTCCTGGGCATTGTGGCGCTAAAGGCCCGGCTGATGCCGCTCCACAGCGATGCCTTCCGCTTCTGGGGCAAGCCCAGCGATAGGGGAGACTTTGTGGGCCTCATTGCGGCCCATGGCTTTCAGGACCCGGCGGAGCTTGTCCGGGTGTGGGAGCAGCAAAGAGGGTACAATCAGGCGTGACTGGTCGCTTGTAGCTGACCCGTTGGGGCATCGCTGCATAGTGGTAATTTGCAGTAGAGGTCGGCTTTAAACTATATTTCACCTTACGTCGGACGGCAGCGGACTCTATCAGCCATCTCAGCCAATCCAGCTCTGTGAACGTTGCACTCTTCGCCCGTCACTGCGCCCCCCCCCCCCCCCCCCCCCCCCTCCTCCTCCTCCAAGGTCACGTAACTCAAACGCGGTCTTGGATTGGTTCCGATGGCTCGCAGCATCCGACGTATTTAGGGTCAGAAGAACCTATAAGGTTACAAGTAACGGGTACTGTTCTGCTCGAAGTTATTGCAGTGAATGCAAGGTATATGTACATGGGTAGCGAAGCTTCCATAGAAGCCCACATGTCGAAAAAATGGCGGCCCATGGAGCTGCTTTAGCGCCATCTATGAGTCGTGGGGACACTTCCGGCGGAACAAAAAATCAACAGGAAATGACGACACTTCCGGAAAAAAACGTGACGTCATGCGTGCGTGCGGTTTGGCGCGAAAATTAAACAAAACTAATTCCAGAGATCACAGGTAAATGAACGACATATACACTAAAAAGTCTCAAACATAGCTCCGTGTTTGAGCTTTGTTTGATGCTTTTTAGTGTATATGTCGTTCTTTTTACCTGCAGTCTCGGGTTTTTCCTGGGGTGTTTACACCTTGTGTTTACTCTATACTGGAATACTGGATCGTTTACACCCTTATTTGCCCTTGCTCTTATATTTTGTTCGAAATGTTTTTTTTTCTGCAGCCGACTTTGTTAGCCGACCTGCTATGAGAGTAGTTTCATTTCGTCACAACCATCGTGTCTTTGCACTGTGGTCAAACTCCAGCTGCAGTGTTTTGCTTTTTGTTCCTTCAGGATCCCTGGGAAATATGTGAGAAACCTGAAAGCAAATTATGTAATGTCACAAAAAAGAGTGAATCAAATTGCTGGGGTGTGTTGGGCGTATGAAATACACAACAGTAACTCTAATGCAAGTCCAACGTCGCTTTAACAGTCGCGTTTTATTTGTTTTATTCACTTACAATCATTCACTCAGATTACTCACTAGAATTATACAATCGGTATCAACTATTTTCAAAAGGTCATGGTCGAAGAAAATTAGTAGATCGGTACATAAGGCACACTGTTATAACATAAGACATTGTACAATCGGCTGGACGTTGTGAGGACGTTGACAGTTGATAGGCAGCCACTAATAACTCGGAGGTTCCACAGTGTTCCGACGACAACTCAGGCCACCACTGTAATACACAGAAAAGGTACACTTTTCTACATATTCCTTGGGCAAGGTACCATAATGCTGGAAATATCTTAACTTGCATCTGCTGGTGCTGCTACACGGCAACGCAGCGATTGTTTGGTGGAGGTCAAGGAAGCCAAGTGGAGTAAACCCTCTTGGAGCCCTGTGGTATGCTGCACTTCATAAGCCAGTTTTGCTTCACAGCTTTAAACTCTATATATGTGAATAAGTTAGAGGACCACATTACTCCTCAAGAAACCGAAGAAAATGAAAGGCTCGAATAGAACATGCCTGCACTGCTTTAAACAGTACTCTGGGTGGTCTCACATACGTAGTCTGCGCACTTGCTGCCTAGCTATACACTTTGCTACTGTATCAAATAGTCAGCATTTTTTTTCCGCGCGAACCAGTGCAGAATGGCTCTGGCAATCAGAGAAAACAAATTATCATAAACATTTTCGTCACATACAGTCAGAGACTTTGAAAGCTTCTGGTTAAAAAGGACACAAAGAGTCCGCCCTACGTTCTCCTTTGAAATTAGGTTGTTGATACATGTCTCGAAGACTTCCTCACAAGCTTCAACAAATTATATGAAAGAAGCAGAAGGAACTGAGAGGATTCCAAAGTGGGAGTCGGCAGTTCCTTTCACACTCAAATACAACAGCACTTGATTTCCCCCAGAAAAACACGCATTTTCTGTCCTCAACTCATATTTCTGGGATGTTCCTACACAGGAATGAACCTTGAGGAATTTCGATGCCAGCCACCCAGCAAAATAAACCATGTTGTTCTCTCCTTTTGCCAAAGTGTAGTTTGAAGGCGAATCGTCTGCCGTGGCAAGAAAAACTGTGCTTCCTAAGGCAAGACGAGGAGAAGGTGCCAAAAGGCCTGCTGGGAACGTAGCAAGGAGAGACATGTCATCAGCACAGTTTGATTTTTCTGACAGCTTGAATAGGTTGCTAATCAAAAGGTGCCTGAATGCAGCCTGAAATTGACGGAAAGTGGAGTTCATGTTTGCACCTGATTTTGAATGTACAACAGCAAAAGTGTTTTCAAGGGTGTCCTGGTTCAGATAGCGGTTTAAAAGGTGGGAAAAACCACAATTAACCGCGAGGTGATTGCTGAGCAGCAGTAGAGACCTAACTGTTAAGCAGAAGCCACGAATGCAGTGTGGCTGCCTTCCACATCCGAGTACTTGCAGGCTCTTAGAAACCAGAATGCACTCTTTCAGAAACTCCTCATGGGTAGAGCCGTTACAGATTGCAGAGGCATATGGCGTCTTTGCAGATTTCTGCGAGCTATTTACGCTGTCAAAGAGACGGTCGATTCTTTCAACGAATCTCGCTGTGTGAACAGCTCTGGCAGGCAATTGCTAAGAAGTAACAAGGGCGTACATTGCAGCTGCGCAGTGATTGCTAAACACTTGAGCTGCTAGTTTCACCGACATCTTTGACGAGAAGGTCAAATTAAAATGCTTCTCCTTCAGCTTTAGCATAGAACCGATCTCAAGTTTACGGTCCTTTTCATAAGCTTCCTTGATGTAGGAACTTTTCACTATGTAATCACCAACTTTTTAGTCGTATTTAAATAACATGTTTCTTAGTCACTTCAAAAGGTGCGGAGTATTGAAAAGGAAAAAAAAAAGTGGCTTGCCATTGATCTCTACGTAAGGCTTTTCGGCAGTTACGATGCTTGAAAAAGAGACACGTTCTGGCACCGTTCATCGCATACAACAGCTACCGGCTTCAGGCCAGCGTCCACAAGGGCGCTGTAGCACTGGAAAAATAGATCTTTTAGTACATCTGAAGGTGTGCCTTTGTGAGCAAAAAATAGCCAAGCGGCTGCTTTCACGGTGTTCCGACTCCTTTCGCCATGAACATGAGAGCCTTATTGGCCAGTTTTTCGCCTTGCTGTCCACTATGTTCTTTAAGTCTTTCAAACCTGTCAGACAAGGGGTTGTATGAAAGCTCTTTTTTGATGTGCATTTCATCAACAACTATGCTGCAGGCCCAATCGGCTCGAGGAAAAGCAGCTGCCCGCCTCTTTATCAGCTCGAAAATGCCAGGGTAAAATCCAATCTTTAGTGGCACACGCTGAAGCCATAGCTGCAGTGACCTTACTGATGGCAGCCTGAGCAGTCGCCTGCAACACTTATAGCCTTTGGGGCTATGAAAGTAGAGGCCTAAAGCCAAGGCTTTGTTGTGGCTGCACCATCTCTGGCCGAACCGGCTCACATTGCTCATTCTAAGCTGGGCTTCAACGAGTGCGGCGACACGAGGAGACCCATGAACGCGGACACTCTCAACGACTTCGGCAACAGTCCTCATCTGACGTTGTCGTTGCAGCCTTCTTTGCAGCCTTCTTTGCAGCCTCTTGTTACGCTCTTGAAGCTGTCGCACCTTGGCTCTCAGGCGTTCACCTTCTTGTTGCCGATGCTGCAGCTTTTGCAGGGTGCTGCAATTTGGCAAATGACCCAGATTAGGTCCCCAAGAAAAACTTGCATTCGGCATCAATTTATTAAATGTGTAATCTATTCACGCTCAAGAACATTCCTCAATGATCTGAAGTGTCTTTAAACAAGAACTGTAAGTTTGACAAACTACACATGCAATTCAAGTTTGGGAAAGCAACAGTACATCTTTATGTTCGACTAGGCCCTTCTTGTTGGCCAGAGACCTGATAGTCCAAAAAGACAAGGGCGCACACAGAAACATGCAAGTCAGAATAGGCATCCAAACTGTGAAATGCATTTTCTTAAAACTTGACCATACCTTACTTATGCCCATGGCATTGTAACAGTGAAGCGCTCGCACAACAACAAGCAACTAAAGTTTGGCAGATAGGACAGGGGACCATGACAGGCTCAGCATCCCACACCTATGACCACGGCAGCTTTTCGATAACTTTAAAAAACACTGTCTTACGTGAGGTTTTGCGGGAAGACTTGTGATTCAGTGAAACCGGTTCAGTTGTTTTGATTTGACGGTGTTAACACCTGCGTGTGGAACATTCCTTTTTGTCTTTTTTTGTGCTTGACAATGACAATACCGTGAAACAAAAATGTGGTGAACTTTGAACAAACTTCGGTTTGTAGCTGCCAGCTAGTCGGTCTGGTGTTATGTGGCCCCTTGCGTCATTTGCTCTCAAGATAAAGTTTAGTATCCCCTGGTGTTTTTCGAGCCTTGGCTTTTTTATTTTTGCGGCCTGATCTTTTATAACTTCACACAAAAAAACTGCAAAAGAAAAAAGTTTGCATCATAGAAAGCACTCACATTTGTGAGAAGGCCCAGCAGCACAGCCAGAGAGAGAGTCTCTAGGCGACGGTGTAGTAACCAAAATCTCCATGTCAACCACGTCCCCGCTGGACTCATGAGCAGGAGCAGCATCTTGACGTAGAGCGCAGCTGTGATCAACCGCAAAAAAAAAAGAAAGAAAGAAAGAAAAGCTTTTGTGAAAACTGCAAGTAAGAAAGCAAGTTCAACAGAGTGGAAAGTTGGACGAGTTGGTCGTTCATTTAAGCTGGCAGAAACAGTGCCTCTCTATGCACTTTTACTGCGCCTGTCTGTATACTCCTTGTTTCCTGTTTTACGTCAAGTTGCGCTGTTTTTACCACTTGAGAAAGCAAGCTCACAAAGAAAGGGGAATAAAAAGATAGAACAAGCAATATTCGGCCACCACTTATTATTGGCCCCTAGTCGACTGTTCTCTAGTAAGGTGCACGAGTATGTGTGGTCCAATGAAGCCACAGAAATCCGCTCTGCAAATTTAATGTGAACTTAGCAAAGGAGAAGAGGAAGTCCTCCCTTATTCCCCTATTCGAATCCATAAAAATTATATTCACCTTCCTTTATGACAGGTTCAATTCAGAAGACTGGTCAACAGGGTGTCTACAGGAACTCCACCAGTCTGAGTGGCCGGAGTATGTGCAGCTCGATGAGGCTGGCGAAATCCTCTTTGCAAATTTAGCGTGAAGTTGGCCATAGAATAGTAGTTGAGTTCCTTCCTATGTGTCTATTCTAACACACGACAAAGAAAATCACCTTGTTCCTACGAAAGTTTCATTTCGGAAGGCTGGTCTTCAGGGTGACTACAGAAGCTCCGTGAGTCTGAACTGCCGAAGCATGTGTAGCTCAATGAGGGTGTCACACTCACCTCTGCAAATTTATGGTGAATTCGCCTATTTTAACACAAAATTTAAATCACTTTCTTTCATGGGCAGCTTTATTATGGAAGACTGGGTGTCGGCAAGGCAAAATATGCTCTGTGACGTTGATTATGTCACCTCAAGTAAAACATGTCATTATAAACCGGGCTGAAATGAACTTCTAGCAGTACCTCTGTCCTTGTTCAACCAGCTTTTCCCAGCTAATCTCACCTAGTTCTTTTGCAAAATGCTCAAGTCATGAAGACCATGAGTTAATGCAGTGGTGCTGGCAGTTGCTGCCACTTTATGTTAGTTTCAGTGAAAAAGCTCACCATGCAAAACTGCTGAACCTGGAGAACTTTTGCTGGAAATGTCGCCATATGTCGTCCTTGCAAATAATATAAAAATGTTATGAGCCCACAAAAGCAATATTTCAACCCCATGTGGTAACCATTTTTCTAAGAGCGGGTTAACCATGCTTAGTCACAAAGTGCACGGAATGTTTATTGGTCTGTTTACTTTTTGTGGGAAGCACACTTAGCAACGCATTGTGACGGAGGTGTCCAGGGCGCATGAGAGCTGACTCCTCGAAATGTAAGGAGAAAACTACCCTGTCTCGTAGCTGCCATGGAGTCGTCCCCTGTAGACTTCAGTTGTTGCAGAACCGAACCCAGGCTTCGCGCCTGCAGATAAGGCATGGTGCTATGAGGGTGCCATGAATACTTACGAAAAGAAAATGTAGCCAAAATGCCCACAAACCAAAGCAAATCAGTGCAAGGACCTTAACAAATGCATGACATCACTGCTCTGTGTACATCATGAAGAGTAAAAACACGAGTCTTACGCACAGATGCGCTATTATATATCTGTGTTGTACCACTGATAACCACGCCGATGATCACGACACTAGGCTCCTCAGAGCCAGGCCGGTACAGGTAAATTTTAATATCGTGGGCACTTTTATAATAACGGTACACAACGCCGCGAAGTCAGTGATTTCGAACTTAAAACATTCCTAGTATAACATATTACGCCTTCTTGTGCACATCCAGACAACCCTTATAGTTTTAGGTAAAACTAGCAAGAGTTAAGAGGAGACCGAACAAGGGGCATACATCACACAGCAGGGGGGCTATGTTGCGCTTTTTGCACTCCCAGGAGACTAGGGAGAGGGAAGTGACGTCAACGACACAGCGAACGCAGATTGGGTGTTGATTTCGTTTTCTTCTGTCAACATCCAATCTGCGTTTGCTGTGTCGTTGACGTCACTTCCCTCTTCCTAGTCTCCTGGGAGTCCAAAAAGCGCAACATAGCACCCCAGGCATGTCACTGACAGTAGCGAAGTCTCACCTTCGAGCGTCGAGGGGAAACCGGTGCAGCGAGATGCCAGCCGTGCGGGTGTTGCTTTCACACATTTCCATGGAGCACCGTTTCTTTGCGTATCGCGCTGTGCTCATCATCGCAAAAGACGTTGAGCCCCTTGGGCGCAGTAGCGTCCAAGATCCAAGCGCACGACAGCCGAGTTCCCGCGCAGGTAACTGGGCTTAACACGCCCGAGCAAACAACAAAACTCCCGAAACGGTGTTAACTGCCGCTAAAACAATTAAAAGCGAAGAGCACGTGGAGGCCCAAACACAAGCAAGCAGACGGACGTCAGCAGACTGCCTTTCCGCGCGCCACGAGGTCTACAAAAAAACTGCAAATATCACTATTGCTAGTCGGCCTTTTTGCTAGCGGCGTACAGAGGACGCTAATAAGAAGTATGCATAATATTAGCAAAAACAAAAACAGTTTTGAATTTTGTTGCACGTTAAATATGATTGATATTATCTATAATTTAATTTAGCTTGTTTAAAAATACCAATGACTATACTTCTAGTCACAAACTAATTAATTTTAATAATGTTTGTCCCCACCTCTCCTAGTCGCGCTTCAATCGCATCCTTCACGTGACCCTCCAGGTCGATGTCGCTGGCGATTTGTTTTGAACCGCTTTTTGGCCGAAGCTTCGCTACCCATGTACATATACCTTGGTGAATGTTTGAAGCGCCCGTCCGCATTGGCGATCGGACTTGCTGATCCGACAGCCGCTGTGGGCGAGTTTGGGTCATGTCCACAGTCCAACGATAACAAAAAAGCGCACAAAAACACGAAAACAAGCGGCACGGAACGTTATGTACTCATTTCGCTCGTCTTCGTGTGTTTGTGCGCTGCTTTGTTACGATTTCCGGCTCTTTCAATAATTGACCATAGGTAGCTCCACGGTCGTTTTCACACGTCACTGTTTGACATGTTTATAGAGGACGTAATTTTCAAAGGATTTCCGGCCAGATCCATTGCCTTCATAAAAAGCACGGTATAGAAACATTGACAGAAAATATTTCCGTCAACAGACGTGTATATTTTACTCTAACGAATACGTCCCACGGTCTCATGTATTTAGTAGCAATAAAACAGTGTAAATATAGCATATGAGAACGGGATTTTATATATGGCTCCTGGCTTCGCTCGAGAATTTTGCCGATACTACGCTTTTGGTATAACGAATTCCAACAAAGGGTGCGAAACGTAACGTAGTATTACGGGTGGAAAGAGGAACTCCCCTACAGGTGTTCGCAAACACCCGGTTCATCCGCCACAATGCATCGCGCACTCCGTTATGCATCGAGCATAGCTGACGCTTGCAAAAGAGACGAAGATGTCATTGACATACCGTGCGTGGAACGTTGTCAGAGTGAAGCTGCTGCACCGGCGATGTGCAGCACTCGCGTGATAACTTTCATCGCAAAAGCGATCATCGCGGAAAAAAGCGTGGTGCGATCTAGTCGCATCGCGCGACTGCTCCACATCGCCGGTCTTGTAGAGAAGATGTGAAATTTGCTGAAAGGTGTCGAAGAATAACATAGGAAATGTTTATCCTTGCCTCTTGACAAACAAAATGTCAAAACTGCACAGCAGTACTTTTTTTTTTTTTTTTTTTTAGGTGCGAGGTGTAAACGTTGCAGCGTGTTTTATTTACTCTCGACTCTAGCGAGTGTCCGGGCACTCCTCCTGGAAGAAATCGAGGACAAAGCTGTCATCGTGTGCGCCGTCTCCGCCCAAGTAGAGCAGCGTCAGCGTCCGGGACGGAAACTCGAACACATCTGCATAAATTAAAGTGAGGAAAAAAAATCATTATATGATAATATACTGTATCGGTACCGCCTGGGAAGGCACAACCAATTTAAAGCCAATTTAAGATAGAACACATCTGCAGTGGATTGAAACGGCGCTTTTGTTTAGCCACTGTAGGTGGCCACGTCAGCAACTTGAAATAACCGGACAATCAGAAATCGCCACAGCGAAGATTCTGTAGGGCGACCACACTGATCTCTATGTCGGCGACCACCGGTCCCGCGACTGGCGGGACTGTCCCGCACTGGGGGCTCGTGTCGCGCGTCTCGCAAGAAATACCAGAATCTTCAAAATGTCCCGCATTTCACACTGCTGTAAAATTCCCTATACGCAACTCATGGCGCTGCTGAACAACAGGGCACGGGGAAGTGCGGAGGTCGCTGGCAATCGCGATGGTACAGCATTTTCTATCCAAGCGTTGCGGGAAGCGACCGTCGTTCTCGCAGGAGAACTGACGCGCATGCGCCGTTGTGCCTCTCGTCCCTTAATAGCGAGATATTGCGAGAAAAAATTGCTCGCCAAAAGTTGAAAATAAATTATTGTAATTATTTTCAAATCGTGCTGTGTCAATGCAAAAAAGTTTCTGTGAATTTTTTTTTGTTGTTGTTGTATGTATTGCTTTTTTAGTGAAGACGATTACACAAGGCAAAAGGACTGCGACTCACAACGGTCAAAAACAACAACATAAGGTTCGAAAGTTCTCTAGGAGCATGTTGGTAAACTTATTTAAGAATCGAGAAGAAACAAGAAGCCGTAAAAGATTTACTGCTTCTTTCCTTTTCATGCATTGAGTTCTGCTGCAGTCGATTTTATGTTTTACACTAAGACACATTTATTAACATATGTTGTATTGAAACTTAAAATATATCTCTAGGAGTGAAAATCATTTGAGTTTAATTGCCGCAATACAATTTGCAGCTGTGTAATATGCTTTGGGACAATACAATATTAAATGTGAGAGCAGAGCCCCATTTCGTGGCTTCTGTTGATATATCTCCTCGAATAGCTATTATTTTCCATGATGCTTTTTAACCTGAGACTTGGGCACAAGCAGGGAAAAAAATGTTTCCTTCTTCTGCCCCAGTCTCGAGTTAAAAAGCATCATGGTAAACTTCCACCAGCTCGACTGCGCACTAAGTTAATTTTTGCAGTTGCCACAGTCGAAATATAATACCGCTTTTCTCTTACACCCCCCCCCCCCCCCCCTTTCCTGGTCAGCGTATCCCGCATTTCGCTAGCAGGAAGGTGGTCACCCTGGTGCTTAGTAACCGCATATCTTGGTCTGCCAAGAACAACATTCTTGAAACGACATACGCAGTCGGTGATATTCAATGACAGCTATGGCCGCGGCCTGTCGATCACGCTATTTTGGGCTGACGGCGAGCTCACGACGACATTCGAAACGTTCGTTTCACTCAAAATATTCTTTCATTGTAAAAAGAAAAAAAAAAAAAAGTTCTATAAATCTTAAACAGCGTGAAGTAGCCATGGAATTGTGGTGATGTCTTAATTAGGTTATCGTTGTCATATCGCGCTCGATCCCGCTCTCACAGCATTACAGTCGGAGATTTGCGAAATAGACTACTTTTAATGCTTTGCGTACGCAAAGAACGTCACGGTGCGTGTGTCGAGCTCGAACCGCGTTTTGGATTGGATCATGGCGGCGACGTAATTTCTTTAGGTACACTATCTCAAACTTGCCATTAGAGCGTTTCCGGAGTCCCACAACGCTATCCGCAACCCTTCCCGGAACTCTACAGTCAAGGCCATCGGCGCGCAGACGCAGTAGCAGCTTCTTCGTTGAGGAGAAGTGCGAGACACATGTACGACGAAACCGTCCGATCCGACGTCCGACCAGGCAATACAACGGTCGGTGGAGGCGGGGGTTTTCAACGCTCTCCGATGCTACGAACACCCTTGCCCCCCAAGGTCGTTCCGGCAGTCCGGACGTCGGATCGGAAGGTTTCGTCGTACATGTGTTTCGCGCGGTCTACGAAAACTCCCTAACGTTTAGGGCGACGCACGCTGCGTGCGGAGAGCGAAAGCAGGCGGCTCGGTGCACGCACCCACTTTTCCCGGGGGCTTGCGACCGCATTCGGGCGTGCCGGCCACGATGAGTCGGCGTCCGTGGGTGCACGAGGCGTTGTCCCCGACCGAGAAGCGGTCGTACCTCAGCTGGAGCTGGCACACATCATCGCGGAACTTGGTCACCAGGTACAGACAAGCCCCGGACCTGGCCGAAGGGCCCTCGATGCGGAACTCCTGTTCCGAGAAGCGGCCTCCACACGGCGACGTCACTGCGTGCCAGTGGCATAGCCAGGGAGGAAGGAACTTATGGAACTTCAAGCTCCCCCACCCCCATCCCCCCCCGATAAAAATTCCTCTATCCCATTGCTACATGCAGGCGTAAAAACCTTGCTTATGTGCACTGGCCCTTGGTTGTGCCATCACGTGGCGTACAGCTGCCCGACTTGGCTGCGTTCAAAAGTCGGTGCTCTGGGGACTGACTATTCCGTTCTGAGTGCACCGGCTGAGTACATGGCTTCATAAAGTCTGGCATATGACGTCATCCCGCTGTGTCCGATTTTGGGGCTAGACTTCGCGTAGGCAGTATGGACCCTCAATGACAGTATTCACGTTGTATGGGAAGCTACAAATCTTGTTTATCAGCCAGCCTTCTTGCCCACGAAAGTTGTGCGCACTCCGCGCCACAGCGAGCGCCACCTGGCTCCATAGTTTTGGCATGACGTCAGAAACATAAATGTGAGTACCGATTTCGACCGAAAACAAAAGTTTTAGCTTCGATACTCCGAACGCCGTGCATAGTCCGCACTTGGTGCTTAGTCGACAGGACTCATACACGGCACACCTTGACAGATGTCTGATTTTTAGCTCACAAAGAAGCTTGTATTGTACATAAATAATCATTAACGTACTCTTTCATTCACAAATCCCGTGACGTCTCGTCACAATGAACAATCTTGAAAAACAAAGTTCCTTTATAGTCCGCACGAGTATAGATAGTCCGCACAGCCAGAAATTTCAACTTTTAAACATGCATAAAAGGTATACGGTATATGCACTAGCTTCAGGAATAGTCGGTCCATCTAGAAAGCTAAAACCCACATTACTTTTTTTCTTTTTTTTTTTTTTTTTACAGTGACGAGGCATTTTTTTGTAACACTTTCTACGGTCGCCGGCTTGAGCACATGGAGAAGAGTCTTCAAAGTATACTTTTAGTTCCTGCGTAAGTCCATGATTGTCCATCAGTACGCCAGCTGATCGAACACTGTCGTTTGGTTTGCATACTTTTTGTCTCATCGAAGATTTGCTTTTCTCCAAAATACGTAATGTATTACCTCTCCCATTTGGTTATTTTCCTTTATTTTTTTCCTAGTTAACAAAAAAACATCATATTTTTAATTACGGAGATACCATCTGGGGGGGGGGGGGGGGGGGGGTGTCAGCGTATTAAGTTCCAATGACTCGTAACGCCCCCCCCCCCCCCCCCTTTTTTTTTTTTTTTTTTCTTCTTTTCGCCTTAAATTTTTACACATGCAGAATTCGAGGGGGGGGGGGGGGGGGGGGGCAGAAAATCTTCACTCCCTCTAAATCCAGTAGACCGTTTCCGCAGCCCGCTAAGCTCCGTAATCAGCCACGAGACCTTGAACTATGCAGAAAAGGCTGGCGGAGCGCATGCGCAGCTGCGGCGTTTTCTTCCCGGATACCGTAGCGGAGGAGATAAACGGTCTACTACAATTCCCTATTAGGGAGTTTTCGTAGACCGCGTTTCTCCCTCCGCTAAGCCCTCCCGCAACGAAGAAGCCGCTACTGCGCCTGCGCGCCGATGGCCTTGGCTGTAGAGTTCCGGGTGTCGTGTTGCGGAGAGTTTTGTGGGACAGCGAAAGCGATCTACGAAAAGTCCCTATTAACCGGTACCGAGCCACGTTACGCAACGTGGCTCGGTACCGGTTGGGTAGGATCAATTTTAAGTTAGGCTATGTTAGGTTTAGGTTAGGTTAGGTTAGGTTAGGTTAGGTTAGGTTAGGTTTAGGTTAGATTGTCTGGTTTAAAGTCGACTGGCATGCGACCGACAGCGCGTGCTCAGTCTCACGGTCTCACCGTCCGTCGGGCATGAGTTGGGGACCTGGGCGAGGCGTAGAGCGAAGCCGACGCCGGACCGCTCCGTATCCGAACTGAACTCCAGGGTAAGGCCGCCCTGCGGCAGCGGCAGCACTGGATGGAAAATGAGGTGGGTTCATTCAACCACCTCGTGAGGTTGTCTGCCAAGCGAAACTTGCATCTGCTTGAGCACGTGTACAAAACGGAAAGTGCTAACGAACAAAAAGGGCGCAAACAAGCTGGTGATGGTTTCACATTTTAGACAAAACCCCAAGACTGGGGAAAAAGGAAGGACAACACAACACAAAGTCTCAAGTGCTACGCATAAAGAGGAACACCGTAGAATACACAAAAACAAAATATTGTACATTAACGGCTTCTTACGGCCCAACGATATACTGAACATTATTTTCTTTTATTACCGCCGATTTAATGAATGCATATGACTATTGTAAGCTCGGTCTAAGAGGTATTTGCCTATAATGTATGCTCGCCGGAAAAAGGTAGTAGGTATGTTACTAATGTGGGTCAATCGACATATAATACGTATACCTCATTTTTGTAAATTGTATGGTCAAGGAACAGGCTCAGTTGATGGCCAAAGAAAACCGTCTTTTTTTTTTTTTTTTTTTTCTACGAAGGCTACGCGAAAGACTGAATGCCTGCAGAAGCATCAAGTAACCAGATGCAAATGTTTTTGTTTTGTTTTTTCTTGCTAAAGGAGTCGAACGTTTACGAGCACTGACAACGCTTGTTGCTGTGACCCCGGCCGCTTGGTTCTGCTTCTCCGCTGGGCGCTGTGGTCAAGCGGCCGTACTGTGAGTTTTGTGTCGGCCCGGGGTAACTAAATCTGTAGAGAGTTGAATTATCCGCATGGAACTTAGAGAAGAAAAGCGATGCATGCGAAAATACGTACATACAACGTGCCCCCCCCCCCCCCCCCCCCCCCGCCCCAACGAAAAAAAAAAATTACTGGATTTTTTTTACCGCAAAATTAAGCGATGCATCGCCGAACGCTGAGCCTCCGCCTAGATGTAGCGCTAGCGATCCGAACAAGGTGCTAAGGGGCCAAGGTTTCAAACCAACCGCTATCCAAAAGTTATAAGTGATTTTCGTTAAAGTTTAATGGGAAAGGGCCCGTTCTGTGTCTCAGATCCATGTATGCAAAGGCTCCGTCGGTTTCCATTTTCCCATTCAACATGTAAAAAAATCGCTTATATATATTTTTTTTTAATAAGAATTTGGTTAGTTTTGAAACTCTGACATCCGATTTGGAGCGCTAGCGCTACATTTGGGCGGAGAATGTGCATTCGGCGACGCGTAATTCATCTAATATAGATATATGTATATATATATATATTTTTTTTTTTTAATTGGGTTTGTGGCCCCGGCGAGGGGGGGGGGGGGGGGGGTATTTACGATGGATGGATGGATGGATGGATACCGCCGAACCATTTAAATCGGGCGGCGGCTTGCGTCCCATCCGATTTAACCTCAAACATGAAAGAAGGCGGCACCACCCCGCGGAAAAGACGTGAAGCAAAGGAACGGGAGCTACCGCCTGTCCAGGTGCGCTGCGAAAACTGGCGCGGCTTGGCGACCGACATGTGCAGCAGGAAAAATGGAATGATTAAATGGCACGGGGTGGGAGTTGTCAATACCGAGCGATTCGGGGGGCGTGACGCCGCAAAAGCTGTCTCCGGTGGAGGGCACCCGCAGGACGTCTCCCCGTTCGCAATTCGGTGGCGTGCCCTCGATGTCCATGTCTTCGAAGCTCAGCAGCACAGCACACACGCCCGGCCACGACGGCAGCACCCTGTAAGAACACCGCACGCCCGCCGGATACGCCAGCGGGTAGTTAGGCGAAGTGAGCCGGGCCTCCGCGGTCCGAACCACGGGGTCCCCGCAGTCCCTTCTCCGGGACCCTACTCCTACCAGGAGCCACAACAGCGGGGCAAAGAGGGCACCAGAGCGACGATAACAGGGCCCCATCGTAGCTGTGACGCCGGCACTGTATACGTCTGTGCCTAGGGTCTGAAGACTGTTCCGGCTCTCCTGTCTGCCGTTGAAGACTGCGGTTGGGAAGAGTTCGCGTTGGCGCGTGAAGCATTCGCTCCCCAATTAGGCTTAGCTTGTAATTACTGCCCGCTCGTGTCATGTGTACACCGACGTGAGTTTGTCTGCTCCGTGCGGACTGTCAGCCCGTCCGTGCTCGGACGTCGCCGATCGGGGCAGCTGATATCCTTTGATAAGTGGGCACTCCGCGAGCGGTCATTTGGGCCAAGGTGAGGAGGTTCGCTTTGCTGCTCATTCGTGGACAACCGGAGATGCATCGTGGCATCCGACCGAGCAAATGCACAAGGCGACTTCGCTAATTGTTAGGTAGTATAATCGGTATAATCCGCTATCCACGTTCTCGCCGCTTCGAGTCAAGGAAATCAAGCATTCAGTTGATGGTTCGCGGGATAACTAAAAATGCAACGTCCCCTTAAAAATAATAATAATAATTATTATTATTATTACGCAGTGCTAAATGTTTTTTTTTTTTTTTTTTTTTTTTTTTTTTTTTTTTAAGACAGATTTTGTTGTTCCGTTTGTATCATCGGAAACTGTTCCGAAATTTCCGAGGAGCTCTTTTGTTGGTGTAACTTCAAATCACTGCCCGAACAACTAATATTTTTTTTCTTGTTGTTTCAAACAACATGCATGAGTTTGAAAACAGCGGGCGCCACGGCGCCAGCAAGCCAGTCAGAACGCCGGAGCGGAACATGTGCAGGATGTGTGGGCCGCAGCGATAAACAGCATACTCGTGAACAACAAAGCGGATTACCACTTTGTATGCAATGGACGAAACGAATACACGTGAAATATAAAGTTTCCTTTACTTTGTTATCATTTCGACACGATTCTTCCGAGTTTAATCACCGAACAGCATGGCGTTTAAGTATATTACCTTTGAACTAGCCCTAATTATTTTTCCAATTCATCCTCCAATTGTCACACCATACAGAAGTTGTTTCGAGGTCATTCGTAAAATGCTAATATCATTGGAATCATTATTTAATCTATAAATAATACTGTCATCCGCAAAAGGTCTAATATTCGATTGTATATCCGTTATCATATAATTTATATAAACCAGGAAAAAGCAAAGAATCCAGAACAGAGCCCAGGGTCGCTAAACTCGTCAAATACAGAGTTGGGGCCGAAGTCGACGGAGCGCACCGATTGGCCTATCACGATGGTGACTTCGCGCTTTTTTCGCCAACGTCCAATCGCCGCGATCCGCGAACTTTCGACAAACTTTGTGTTTCACGAGTTTAGGGCCCCTGGCCGGGAACACCACACTCTAAAACCGGTCCCTCATAAAAAACGCTGTCCCTCTGATTTTAGAGGGGACAACAATGCTTTCAGGGGGACAGCCCTTTTTAAGAGGGAAATTGAAAAATAAAATAGCAACATCTAGAGGGACACCAACATATTAAGAGAGACCAAGGAAGCCGTTTCGTTAGTCCCTCTGAACAGGAAAGACAGACAAAAAGATTCACGCGTGTCCCTTCATATTAAGAGGGGACCGGTCCCTCTTAACTGGACCAATGTAGTTCGGTCAGGAGGAGGGGGGCAGGCGCACTAATCCACGGTGCTAAGGCTTCGCGCCAATTCACGGAGAGCTGGAAACGGTCGTTGCCGGAGAGTCGCAAGCGTCATGCTGCTCGTTTGATTTCCTTCGGGTGAGTAATCCTGCCATATTGACGCTTTTGTTTTGGGTGCATTGCGGGTGGGAATAACGAGCCATCAATATTTTCACGCTGGCTGTGAGATGCACGAGCTTTGCATGTAGAGTGAGAGTGTTCAGCTGTAGTCCGCGGACGCGGTCGCTTCCTGGATCTGCTCGTTCAGCTAGGACAAAGCGTCGCTAATCGTTTGCCCTGCCGTGAGCCGCAGGGCTGTCTTTCGCACAAAACACTTTTAGCGGGTTAGGGTGTCTTAAGCTGGTGATATCAGACCATTTTCTGTCCGACGCTTTTGTCTACTTTTCAATTTCGAACGCGCGATCGTTCTTCTCCCAGCTCGAGCTGCTAACTTTGGCAGTGCTATGCCGGCATTTTATTACCGGCAATTTCCTGGTATTTTATCCGTGAGCGTACACTGTCGGCATCGAGTACTACAAAGGATGGCATCACCCTCCCTAAGGCAAAGCCAACATAAAGGCACCCTAGCTGGGGCAGTCAGTGTTTGTAAGCTTGGCTCGCCGATTTCTTTCTCGGTGTGCACTCTAAATGCTTGAGGTTGACCGCTCGAGAGAGTTGATTGACAGAAACAATGTTGGCGATTTTGCGTTTGTTTGCCTTCACAATTCATTACAGCAATTTACACTGCAACGTTATGTTGTAGACATCGTTAGCGTTGCAGTGATTATGAACATTTTTTTCTCAAGTGGGCGTCGAGTAAAAACCCATAATGTGTGTGTATGTTTGTGAAAAGGGCAGGGGGATTGGACGAGCACAAACAAAAAGAAGAAATAAAGGTTTTTTTTTCTTCGCGTGTTCGCGTTGCGTCGGCGTCGCGGCGTCTGGGGGAAGGGTGGCGGCCAGGGAGTACATTTTTTTTTTTTTTTTGTATTTCTTTGGCGTACTGTTTTGTTCGTTATATTTTGACGGTCGTGCCGGCACAGCTACCGGCTTTTTTTTTTTTTTTCTTGGCGCCGACCATGTTTTTGTTTTTGGAGATTTTATTTATGATGTTTATTATGCTCTTTGTTTTCTGTAGCTGGCTGAATATTTTTTTTTCTGTGTCGTGCATCCGCGAAAAATATATAAACAGAAGTTTGCTTTTTTTTTTTTTTTTTTTGTCTTTTCTTTCTTATGCGCTTTAGGGCTAGTGCGTTGACTGTGGGCGTTAAATGACTGACCGTTATTAACAATCTTGTTTTCAGAGTGAGGCAATGGCAACGAACGTTGACATGAAGGGAGTCAGGCGGGGGTTCCGCTCGGATTGCTCGTGTAAAGAGCTCTACCGGGACCCTCTGCACGGTGGAACGCACCACCCTGAGTGGTGAGCCTACTGCGGCCACCCGCACACGGTTCACAACGAACTCGGTAATTATTTACTTTTTGTATTCCGGTATGTAGGTAGGCTCTATTTACGTTCTGTTGGCATATGCACTGCTTCTGAAAAAAAAAAAAAAAAAAAAATTAATGGCTTGCGGCGAAATATTTACAGAAATGTAATTTTTTATTTGATTATGTTGCTTTCTAAAACATGCGCTAGATCACTTCTGCAGCTTCGAGCCGCAAATGCAATCCATGCTTTCCAAAGCACATGGGTCTTCTAAAGTTCATCTACTACTAAATGCGTTTTCGTTTTGTCTTGGTAATACAGAAACAATTGATTCTCGTAAATTAATTAAAACTGCAGTCTATTCTCGTACCAAAAATTAATAGTAGCAGAAGTTGCGTCATAAGCTAATGTCACTCGCTATTTCATCGCATACAGATTGGGTTCCGAATCTTTGAACTGTTTGCACTTTATTTTCGCATTTGTTTCATATCGCCTGCTTGATAACAGGTGAAAGCGCTTCATTACCTTTATTCTAATTCCCACCCTCTGTATCTAAAGGAAAACAATATGATCTTTCATTCAGCTAAAGGTGGATGCACAACTTCGGTTCCATAACACGATCGTCACCATGCTGGGAAACCTGGAGGAGGTAAAAGGGGCCTTCTGCGGAGACAACCCAACAACATTCTTGAACATTAAGACCATCCTCCGGTCTCGATTGGCCAGAAGTTCTTTCATCACCTATGGTATGTGAAAAAGCGAATGCAAAAATAGAAATCTAAGTTTGACGCTGACGCAATCTTTTTTTTTTTTTTTTTTTTTTTTTTAAATTGCTGCTTGCAGGACGATTTTACCCCTGACGAAAAAGTTCCAAGACCCAAGATTTTCTTCGGTTCGGAGAAAGGGATCGTTTCTGGGAACTGGTCAGTGAAACTCTCCGCTAGCACGACTATGGAGGGGGCACTAGTCATGTGCTTATGGGTGTATTACATAACGGGACTTTCCTACCCCGTGGCATGTGGACAAACCCTTGAACTCCTCTAGGGTCTGCTCGTTGAAAATAAAGTGTTTCGATTCAGTTTATGTCGGAGAAGCTCATAAAATCGCTTATGGCCGTTCAAAAACAACAAAAATTCTGAGCTTCTGCTGATGGCAAGAGACGCCGAATAATTAGTTTTTAATGCTATGAAGTAGGTAACTACGCTCTAAAAAAAGCACAGGAATCTACTTTCCCGAGCCAGCACTTGGAAAGTCAATCACCGTAACTCACGGAAGCAGCTCAGCGAATCGCGATGCCGAAACATAAGATTAGACCAAAAAAGCCAGTCCGAGTTGTGACATTAACCAATGCAAAACATCACGCTTGTTGTGCTTAATGTCGCAACTCATTTTTTTGGTATAATCATATGTTTCGGCATCTGCATTCGCTGAGCTGCCTCCGAGAGTTATGGTGATGGTCTTTCCAAGTGTTGTGCGGGAAAGCAGACGCACGGGCTTTTTTTTAGAATGCACTTTTCTTTTTGTGTTATCCGCTAAAAAAAGTTTTTTTTTTCCAGCACGATTGTATTGTTGTTGTTTATGATAGGCAAAATGAGTCACTCTGCAGCACGAAATTTTTTGTGTGATAGCTTCCAAGAAACGCCGATTTCTGGCGTCGTTCTAAGTCTTTTTTTATTCGTAAAAGCTACCAGAACATCGCTATAGAATTATTATTTTGATGAAGACATATATAATATTTTCTTGTGTCATGGCAAATAAAACAGTGTTTACTCTTAAAGATTGTTACTGTTTTCTTTAACACATTGATTCCGTTTATCAAACAAGATATACAGATCAAATTTCAATTCTGCTACGCAGCACAAAATAACTTTGGTTAAACCATATCAGCAAAAGTGCGAGAAGTGCAGTGCAGCATGTCAGCTTACACTCAAAACACGAAGGAGCAGAAATTGTACGATACAATAACAGAGGTAACTTAAAGCCGGGGTCACGCTGCTTATACATCATACAAAATACATTCTG